GTTCCATGATAGCAGACATCATCCTCACACCTCAGCCAGCAGGACTTGGAGTCAAGTCTATCCAAGGAAATAAGAGTTGTAAGACCCAAATTAGAGAGTATGTATCCAGAGGAAGAAAAAAGTTATAACGGTTAGCTTCGGTGAAGGTTAGGGGCCAGTGGTCACATATGCTCTTTAGACTACAATTAACAACTATTTATTGAGAACACGTGTGTTGGGCCTTGTTCCCTGTACTAGAGGTGTATCATAACAACACAAAATCCCTGTATTCCTAAATCTACCGCCTAGTTGGAGAGAGAGTCTATGAACCCAACTCCTTAGTGTCAGACAGTGAGGAGTGCTGTAAAGAAAACAAGAAGGCATCAAGGGCAAATGGCATAAGTGCTGCCTGGCCGGGTGGAGTGCTTCTTAGAGAGGCAGGGAGAGGATCTCTGGTACAGTGATGTTTGTGCAGGAATGAGGTAGAGAAATGAGCCTTCTGGGTGTCTGGGGGAAGAAGCTTCTGGACAGAAGGAATGTCAAGTGCAAAGGCCTTGAAAATAATGGCTAATGTGAACTTCAGGAATTATAGGTGGGTATAGATTTAAATCTCCCATGCATCCTTAACATGAATAATTAAAAAGAATTCAGGAATAAACACAATTGCTTGTGCATAGATTGTTGGTGAGGTACCAACTAACCTAACACCCGATCTGGATGGGGTTTCTAGAAAAAAAAAAGTATTGTTCTACATTTGAGGACCATAAGAAAAGAAAACATACACAGCACCAACTGACCTTGCCTTCGATGTGCCGTGTTTCCTCCTGTGTGGAAGAAGAGAGTATTCTTGAAATCCAACTAAAAAGCCAGCCAGGAACTTGTAAGATGTAGCTAGAAATAAAAGCAGCTTGAGTGGTTTTCAAATGTCTTAATTTTCATAATTGTTTCCACATTCTGGGCTGGCTGGACATTTTTTCAGAGAAGCAAGTTTGGGAGAGTCTAAATGAAAGCTTTGCTCATGAAATTTTCATTTGGAGTCTACATATAGACTTTCTAAGCCATCATTTTATGAAGTCTTAAATTACTGAAGCTTGAAGTTGTGGTTATCACTCCAAAGTTTAGCATCCTTTGTTTCTGGGTCAGACCAATTAAACTCTCTAAACCTTTAGTATGAAAAACAAACAAACAAACAAAATCAGCTTGGGATTTGGCAGAAATAAGGTTTAGCAACCTTACTATGGTCCTGAAATTGATCATATTGTGTCCTCCTTACCATAAATGTTGAACATATATTTTCAGAAAAGTATCTTTTTTCCCTTGGTTCTGTCTGGTGTTTTGTTTGCCCAAGGAGACAAAGCGTGGTGTTGTAGATAAACATGCAGTTTATGGGATGAGGCTGTCTGAATAGAAGTTTCCACTTCCCAGATACATGACCTTTGACAGGCGCTTCAGTTGTCCCATCTGCAAAATAGGTATAATAATGGTATCTGTTCTTAGGAAGATTAAGTGAGATGATCTGTGTAAAATGCTAAGTCTAGCACCTGACCTGCACTCAAATGTTAGTAATTGAAAAATAGCAAGAATACAGTGGAGATGTTAAATAATTCACCTGAGACCACATAGTTAATAAGTGATGGAGGCGAGCATGATGGCACATGCCTTCCCAGCTACTCAGGAGGCATAGGTAGGAGGATTGTAGCCCATGGTCTGAGCCCAGCCCTGGCAAAAGCATGAGACTATATCTAAACAAACTAAAGCAATTAGCTCTGGAGGCATGTCTCAAGTGGTAGAGTGCTTGCTAGAAAGCCCTGAATTCAAACCCCAGTACTTCCCTCCAAAAAAGTGATGATATTCTCAAATTGTCATATTTAGTGTTTGATGTATAAGTCAACAAAGGCACTGAATGCAAACTTTAATTTTAGGGACGGGGGACAGAGTGTAGGACAGAGATTCATTCACTTGTTCATTCAATAAATTCTGACACTATCAAGGTGATCATAATAGACAAGGTCCCTGCTATGCAGGTGATACGGAGTTGGACACTGAGTGCATAACCACAAAAGAACATACGGGTTATCAAAGGAGCTACTGAGCAGTTGTCCTGAAGCTAAAATAGGCTCTCAGATAGTGAGAGCGATGAAGCCAATTTGAATTGATCAGAGGAGGAGTCTTGTGGGAGGACTTTTAAGCTAGGACTGAAATAACTTAGCAATTTGTTTGAAATTGCAGAATCATGTTTTAAGGTTTAAGAGAGGTCAAGAGATGATTAATTGGTCAGTTGTTATAAACTTGCCAAAGTTTTTGGTAATTTCCAGCTAAGAAAATATGATAATGTGTGCTTAATCTGTACTGGAGACTGCCAGTAGGCTTGGTAGCATATGGTAGAGAAGAAAATAAACATAGAATTACTTATCTCAGAATGCCCAGTTACTTAGTTTTGGAGCTCTGGGGTGATGGTGATAGGAAGTGTTTTCGGGAGAACTGATGAAAGTAACATCCAAATGTGGTCAGATGTCAGCAAGGGAAGCTTTATAGTTGTATGATTTTCTAAGTAAAAAAATCACTTTTATTTTCATTACCACTGAAAAACTCTGGTTTTTCACACAGGTCCCTGAGGTGCTTCCTATCAATGTTAAACTTGCTTTTTCAGAGCTGTAGAAGAAAGGTCATCTTGTAGAAGTTGTAGGAAAAAGATTGACTACATTAAGTAGAATGTATGCAAAATTTTTGAACTAGTGTTTAAGTCCATTAACTTACACAGGACATAGAGAAAACTGGGAAGAATTTTTTTTTTAAATGACCCATAGTTCTACCATTCTTAATTAAGTATTTATATTTTGGGATTGTTTTCCTTACCTTTTTCTGAACCTTTAAAAATTAGTCAAAGCACATATATTTCAATATCTATGTCTCCATGTGTCTGTATATGATTTTCTGTAATTAAAGCAATAATGTGCTTTTTCTTCTATTATTACAACTTCATAGTGTTATTTTCATTTGCTGCATAATATCACATCCTGATTTTTTAAAACCAGTTCCCAAGATAAAACTTTGTTGTTCTTATTGCCTGTTTCTCCCAAAAGTAGATTCTGGGGCCAGGAGGAAGGAGCTACATAGTGGTAATTCTGGGTAACCAGTTTTTGGTGATATCTCAGCATTTTAAGACAAAACTACTTCTGAGTCTCATGACAATTTTTGCAAAAACATGTCTAAGAATTGCCATTTTGCTTTTGATGGTGAAAAGTTGAATTTGAAGATTTTTGAAATAAAAATCATTGAGGTTTTAGTGCATAATATAATTACAAATGTAGCCAAATATAAGAACTCAAACTAAAAATCTAGCATCTCTTTAAGAAATTAGAAAATTTTAGCAGTATTTTTTTAACATCTGAATCCCAACATCCTTATAAAGTATTAGTCTTAACATTTCTAATAAATCAGTTGAGGATAATATGACATTTAAACTAGAAATATGTTTCTCTTAGTTGTCTAGCCCATGTAACAAAATAAAATACATGAATTATTTTTAATTAGTGAAAGGAAGTATCATAATTATATCATTAAAATTTCTTGTGTGGTGTTTTAGTCAATTCCTGCTGTTATAACCAAAATATCTTAGACTAGGTAATTTATAAACAACAGAAATGTATTGCTCACAGTTCCGAAGGTTGGGAAGTCCCAAATCAAGTCACCAGAAGATTTGGTGTCTGATGCCAACCCAGTCTCTGCTTTAAAAATGGTGCCTTGTTGCTGTGTCCTCACATGGTAGAATGGCAAAAAAGTGACTCAAAAGTTTCTTTAATAAGTGCTCTTTCAGAGAGGGTGATGGAGAGTGAATATTATAGAAGTACGTTGTATGTATGTATGAAAATAACATAGTGAAACCCACTAAAAACTGTTAAGAAAGAGTAGTACAGATAGGGTGAATTTGATGAAAGTACATTATATGCATGTTGTAAATGTCACAGTGAAACACCTTTCTGCATTTAACATTTGCTAATAAAAAAAAAAGAAAAGAAGAAGTGCTCTTTTATAAGGGCACTAATCCAGTGATGAGGGCAGAGCCCTTATGACCTGGTTGTCTCCCAAAGTGTCCCGTCCTGTCTCCCCCACGCCCCCACACCCCACCTCCCTCCAGGTTTTGCCTGGAGCAGGTTGCAACATGAATTGGGGAGGGACACAATGTATTTCTCAGATTGTTTATCTTGAATTTTTATGTACTTGCAATACAGTTGAAAACTGAATTTTCTCCTTAGATAAGTGTTTTCTACCTAACTCTCATACGCTGCTGGTAAGATTAGAAATACAGCCACTTTCAGCCACAGCATGACAAGATATATCACAAATCTTTAGATAAATTTATATCTTTTTCCTCAACTTGGAATCTGTGGGTATTCCTAAATAAATAATTGGCCAAATATATAAAGATTAATGTGCAAGAATATTGATGCATGTTGAAACTGTTCTAGGAATGGGAGGAGGAAGGATAAAGGAGAATGATGGATGGAAGGAATTCAACTATGATATATTGTAAGAACTTTTGTAAAGGTCATAATGTACCCCCAGTACAACAGTAATATATAAAAAATGGAAAATTTTTTGTTGGATAATTATTGTCTTGGTTTGGGCACCATCACAGTGATCTGCCATTTTTTCTAAAAGCAATAAAAGAATATTGATGCATCCATGACCATTCATTCAGCCAGTCAGTCAGTCAACCATTCAACAGTTACCCACTGTGAGGCAGACAGGACAACTGGATCCCGGGATTATTTATAATGGTGAACAAAATAAACACAGAACCTGTCTCATTGAAATTGTGGCCTAGCCTGTGAAACAATTAAATGCAAGCTAAATGCCATGTTAGGAGGTCAGGGGCAAATTTATTGGAGCAAAGTCATTTACTGGGAGGTGGAGGATTAATAGAAGTTAGCCAGAAAAAGGGGCCCAGTGATGGTAATTGGTAGCTTAGTAACTGGTTTCACCAAGAGTGAGATTTGTTTCTTTAAATTTCTTTCTAGGATGTTCAGTGCCTCTCCACAATGAATGAGTGTCACTATGACAAACGGATGGACTTTTTTTATAATAGGAGCAACAGTGACACTGCTGATGACTGGACAGGAACAAAGCTTATGATTGTTTTGTGTGTTGGAACATTTTTCTGCCTGTTTATTTTTTTCTCTAATTCTCTGGTCATCGCAGCTGTGATCAAAAACAGAAAATTTCATTTCCCCTTCTACTACCTGCTGGCTAACTTAGCTGCTGCGGATTTCTTCGCTGGAATTGCCTATGTATTCCTGATGTTTAACACTGGCCCAGTTTCAAAGACTTTGACTGTCAACCGCTGGTTTCTCCGCCAGGGGCTTCTGGATGCAAGCTTGACTGCCTCCCTGACCAACTTGCTAGTTATTGCTGTGGAGAGACACATGTCAATCATGAGGCTGCGGATCCATAGCAACCTGACCAAAAAGAGGGTGACACTGCTCATTCTGTTTGTATGGGCTATCGCCATCTTCATGGGGGCAGTCCCCACCCTGGGCTGGAATTGCCTCTGCAACATCTCTGCCTGCTCCTCCCTGGCCCCCATTTACAGCAGGAGTTACCTCATTTTCTGGAGCGCGTCCAATCTCATGGCCTTCTTCATCATGGTGGCGGTATACCTGCGGATCTACATGTATGTCAAGAGGAAAACCAACGTCTTGTCTCCACATACAAGTGGGTCCATCAGCCGCCGGAGGACACCCATGAAGCTAATGAAGACAGTGATGACTGTCTTAGGTAAGAGAAGCTAAGTGAGCCGTTATTTCCACCCATTCAGCAATCTTTTTTGAACATTGCTGTGTGCAGGGCACTGACTTGGCAGTCAGAATGTAACAAAAGAAAAGAACAGACATAAATCCCACCTGCATGTACCTTATACTCTAATAGGAGAAGACAAAATAACTGTTCTAATGGAAGTAAGCAAAATAAATATAAAAATCAAGATTAGTCTTATATAGAAAAATAAGTCAAGGAAGAGAATTACAGAGTGCTAAGTAGGTATAGCTTGTGAGATTTTATATATGTATATAGATATATACATATATCTTCATATGTACACATGAAGATAGCATATTGAAACCCACAAACATGTTTAAAAGAGGGTAGAACGGTTAAGAGAGTATAATAGAGGGGATGGATTTGATTAAAGTACGTTGTATACATATATGGAAATGCCATAATGAAATTCCTTAGAACAATAAATTTACACTTTAAAAAACTCATGTGAGACACCTAGAAGATGGCTTTTGACTATGAGACATTGCAAGAACTTTTGTAAACTCACAATGTATCCCAACAACAATTTGATAATAAAAAAGGGAAAAAGAAAAAAAACTTAAAAAAAAGCATTTTATCATATGCAAGATGGTCTCTCACAGTGTGAAACTGACATAAAAATAGTCCTAGATTTGTAATAATTCTGAAAATACATTAACCCTTGTTTTAAAACATGTATTCCATGTGAATGAAAAAACTGAACTAAAAAACTCAAGAATGTAAAAAAATAAAAGGGAAAGTTACATTTATCTTCAAGTGTTTTTAAGTACTATATCATTCCATTTCTGTTTACAATTATAAGTCATAATTTGTGACTCTTGGAGATTTTCACAAAATAAAAAGGCTTTATACCTAAGCAAAAATACATGACTTTTGAGCAGAGATGTGATGGTAGTGAAGGAAGGAACCATGTGGGTATCTGGAAAGAGTTCCAGGAAGAAGATGCAATAAGCATAGGAGCACTGAATAGCAAGGAGTCCGATGTGTCTGGAGTAGAGTGAGCAAGAAAAGTAGGAGAGATGAAGTCAGAGAGCCAAAGGGAGAGGAGTGAGGTCACTCAGATTATGTGAAGCCAGGTAGTCATAAGGACTTTGGCTTTTCTGAGTGAGATGAGAAGCTCCTGGAAGGTTTTGAACAAGGATATGACATGATTTGACTTACGTTTTATTGCTATCGCTGGCTGCTATTTTAAGAAAATGCTATCTTGGGACAAGGGTGGAAGCAGGACAATTGCTTAGCAGGGTGTTTGAAGAAATCACAGAGGCCAAAGGGCAGTTAGAGGTGATGGTTAGATCCTGAATATTTTTTAAAGATAGAACTGATAGAATTTGCCATTGAGGAAGGTGAGAGGAGGAGGGGAAGGTAGGGAAGTGGTAAAGGTTCCTATGAAGACATCCAAGTGGAGTGCCAAACTTATAGAATAGACAGTTGGATATGTGAATCAGGAATTCAGGATTTGGGGCTGTGCTTATATCCACTCAATAGTCTTTGCAGGGAGAAAATGTACTTTAAAGCACAAGACTGCTTGAGGTCACAGTGAATGTGAAGAGAAGAGGGTCAAGGAAGGAGCCTCCCTCACAGTAAGGAGCAGCCTGCAAGGGAGCCCCAGGGGTGGAGCCAGAGCCCCAGAACATGGGGAGGGGGGTGGCCTAGAAACTAAGAGAAGAAGGCAACCAAAGGAAGGGAATGCAGATTGAGTATCCCAGACTCAAATGATTGGAACCAGAAGAGTTTCAAACTTTTTATGTGTTGACAATCAAAAAGTTTCAGATTTTGGAGCAGTTCAGATTTTAGATTTTGAGATTAGGAATGCTCAACTAATATTAGCAATGTCGATACTGGTAATAATCCTGAGAGGTGATTTAAGACTCAGTCTTACTGGATTTAGCAAAGTGGTAGTGTTTTGATGACCTTGAGAGCATCAAACTTGGTCAAGCTGAAAGTCTGATTAGAGTAAAATGAAGAAAGAAAAGAAGAAGACACTTTAGGGAATTCAGTTTGGGCAGCCCTGAGGAGTTCTGCTTTGCACAGTGAGGCCTGTCTCAAGAAGGCACACGTGGTATGGTAGCTTTTCCTGTATTTTGTTTTCACTATGGTAGGTGGCCTGTTGTCTCACAAGTTCAGTCCTGGGTAACAGGTTGAGTTTGTGATGTGTAGGCAAACAGGAACTTCTGTGGTTTCACATGCCTTGTCTTCTCAGCATGTGTGGTGGTCACCACAGGGGGACAATTATTGAGAGAGATCCAGGGATATATTTCAGTCAAGTCCCAAAGTGAAGTGGCTATACAATGAATTCTGGAGCGATAGTTCATATTGGAGGATGAAGAGCACATGTGGTATGGACAGAAAACATCATGTCTCTAGGTCCTTACATTGCTTATAAGATTTGGAGGTGACCGGAGACACAGTACAACTGTTAAAATAATTTCAAACCAAGGGTTTATTTAATGCATATTTATATAGTGCCTACAATTGCCAAACATTGTCCTAAGTGTTTTTATGAATATTCACTTGTTTAATCTCATGGCAAGTCTGTGAAGTAGGTGCTTCTGTCATTCCCACTGACCGGATGGTGAAACTGGGCGGAGTTTAACAACATACCCAGTCGTTACTGTGTTAGTGGAGGGGCCAAGACCCTGTGGGACTGGCCTCCAGGACACATACGTTTAAGACCAAACTCGGAAGCTACTTTTTATTTATTTGGATTTTTTATTGGTATTCTATTTGTCCAGTCTTCTCATTTGAACACCTCACCTTCCTTTTAGCATCTTGACAAGAACAAGAAAGGGCAAGTTCACATTCATCAGTATTTCCCCTCCTGATCTAGATAGGCTATTGATGATTTTTGGTAAAGAGTGAATTTGGGCATTTATAGGTGAACTGTGCCATGTGTCCCACTTAATTTGTAGGCATAATCATTTCCTTGGCTACATGTCTTGAGGAATTACCTACCTGCTTAAAGAGGAAACTTTCTCTTTCAGTACATTATATATAGCATACAGCAGGAGAGAGAAAGGGCATCTGTACTTACAGATGGGCAGAATAGGACTCTATGCAGTAGTCACAGTCTCTAGCATCAGTGTCATGTGTAACTTTATTAATGATTATGGAAGTTTAAAGTAAATGAGCTGTGTGGTTTTGATAAGTGTGGTATTGGGCAGAAGAAAAACGGAATAAACAATGAAATTGCCAAGTAGAAGAGAAGTTGTGGGATGAAGATGACACAGCCCTGGGGAACTGGTCAATGGCAGGAAGACAGTTTGGTATTGAGGATCTAGTCAAGTTCCTCCGTGGTGAGACAGAGGGATCTGTTGGAGACAGGAAGTTTGGGGACAGGGGAAATGAAACTGAAGAGCTAGATGGTGTAAAGTTTTGAAGAGGTCTCACTCTTATTTCTTTGGATGACATGAATTTGGGATTTGGCCCCACTTGTGAATCAAAGCACTGAGCCCCTTCCATGAGAGCACCTACCACAATGTCTTCCTAGAGAGGAAGCCCCTCATTGCTCTATCTAATACATGTAATAATTCAATTGAATTCAATAAGTCAATGCTTGCCTAAGTCAAACATCTCCCAAATGACGGTACATTAGAAAACTTAGCAGTGCTGTAATCCACCATCATTGTAGTGCCTGGAAATGTCTCTGTATGTGGAAATGAATAGCCTAATACTAAGTTATTATTATTACTAGTAGTAGCAGTATTGGAAGTACTAGAGTTTGAACTTAGGGTCTTGCATTTGCACTCTACCACTTGAACTATACCCTCCAGCCCTAACTCACTTTTGTTATTTTTTGAATAGGAGTCTTATTGTTTTTACCTGGGGCTGGCCTCAGGCCATGATTTTCTTACCTATGCCTTCCATACATATGGGACCACAGGCACACACCACCATTCTCAGCTTGTTGGTTGAGATGGGTTCTCACTAATTTTTTGCCCAGGCTGGTCTTAAAAAGTGACCCTCCCAATCTTCACCTCCCAAATAGCTAGAATTATGGCATGCACCACCATACGTGACCTAATTTATTTAATGATCACATGATTTAAATATCTTTATGACAATATGCTAAACGTTTGTATTGATTTATTCATATATATCTTGCAAGGAAAGGTCATATAAGATTAAATCCCAAAATTTCTTACAAACACTCTCCTTTTATATATTAGAAAGCCAGTCAGTTAAATACATATTAACTGTCTATTAAATAGCATCTGAGATGCAAGTGATTGCATAAATTCATTGAGTTTAATCTCACTTCAGGAAGGAGAAAAGGGTGGACAGGGGCTACAGAGTTTGGTGAAGCTTCTTGAAGGCATGGGATGTAATCTGAAAGGATAGATGGGATTTCATAGGCAAAAGCAAAAGATATTCTAACCAGGAAAAACAGCATAATCCAAAGTATGATGGTAGAAACATCTAAAGCGTGTGTAGTATGCAACAAAGGGCCCAGGAGCACAGATGCTTGTTGTGACACAGAGACAAGCAGCACACCGATAAGCCAGGAAAGTTGAGTCAGCTGTCCTCTTTGGAGGAGGAGAGGTAGACCAGATGGCCTGTGTGTTCCTTCCCAGTATGAGGACTTTTGGTTGAACACAAAAGTACATGGAGCAGAATGTGAATCAGACTCTTTCCTTGAGGGAGGTGGTGGTGATGATGGTGATGTGTGTTTCAAATCTGTGCATGATTGCAAAGTCATGTAGGCGTCTTGTTCTCATTTCAGCAGCCCTAAGGCAAATGCTTGCTCACCTCTGAGCTGCGATGTGTGATGGGGCCCTGTATGTGAAAGAAGTTGCTTATTGGAGCTCATTGAAAAGACATTGGAGACATACGATCCTGCTTTCCCAAGGTCACCAAGGCCCTGCCTAAGACAGAGTTTTGAAATCCTACTTTTGTGTGTACCCAAAGCCAGAAAAAAGCCTGTGTTTATGGTCAGGAAACACACCATGTAAACCGTGCACACA